TCCTTCACTCTCTGCAATCTGATGGTGATGTTGGTGAAGAGGATGATGATGAGGTTGTTGGTGAGGAAAATGATGATGTTGATGACAGATGAGGATGATGAAGATGATGAAGGCGATGAAGCTGATAATGGTGCAAAAGACGATGATGGTAATGAAGCTGATGATGGTGATGACAGATGAGGATGATGATGGTGATGAAGGCGATGAAGTTGATAATGGCGATAGATATGATGATGGTGATGTTGGTGATGAGAATAAAGATGAAGATGATGACGAAGATGATGAAGAGAAGTAGGAGGAAGTTGATGAAGCTGATGATAGTGATGAACATGATGATGGTAATGTAACTGGTTTTAGTAATGTTACATTTTTTTGTGCTAAAATACGGCTCTGAGTCCTAGACAATTTTTAAAGAAATGGAAAATAAAATTGACGCTGCTGAGAAGTGTTTTTTGAGAAGAATTATGAAAATTAGTTGGACCTCTCATACTTCGAATAAGGATGTAATAAAACAGTCCGGATGTAAAAATGAGGAAATTACTACCGATAATCCGACGGGGGACAGTTAAAGTTTTTTGGTTTTGTAAAGTTTTTTTGGAAAGAAAGAATGGAAAATCTAACAACTACTGGAAAGATTGCAGAGAAAAGAGATCGCGATAAACAACGAATAACATTTGGGTAGTCCTCGTGTCACTTGTTGAATATCACCACATTTCAACTCTTACAAAAGTGTTAAAGATCGGGTTTTGTGGGGGTCGATGGTCGCCAATGCCCAGAAAGGATAAGGCACAAGAAAGAAGAAGATGATGATGAAGACGATGAAGATGATGATGAAGATGATGATTTTAATGATGTTTGATTCAACTTCAATAAGCTTTTCACCAAAGTGTAAATAAATAGCAGTTATAAACCCAAAAATTAATGAATGATAATCTAGGCAAACCAACAACAATTAAAAAATGGCAAAACATTTTCTTAAACCTGCATTAATTTTTTCATAAGCTTGGATCCCACCTTCCTCCCCCTATGGCCATCCCTAACGAACCACAGGTCCAGGTGCATGATCCTCCCAAACAAACACGAGAACGTGTCGCAGTATATTATCAAGCCCAACAATGGTTTTTTACCTAATGAATGTTGAAAACGGCGACCTCTGTGTTGCCCATATTTTATTTTAAAGGGTTGAAGGCTAAAAAAGGTTAAAGGTCAATTACACTCTTCCAAATGTCACAGGATTCAACAACACGCACAAACATCGTGTGTGAATACGTGCTAAACAACGCATTACACACGGAGCATGTGATGGGCGGGGATCTTTTTGTCGTATTCGAACCCGGTTACTGTGAAACAGCACCAGGCGACCTTGACCACTAGGCTATCATGCATATGTTGAGAGTTCTCCATTCATTAAATTTTAATCATCTATATTTCATCCTCTTTCCTTTCGTTTTTATATAAATTTTATTTAATAATAATAATAATAATTATAATTATTATTATTAATACAAAAATTCTAATAATTATTATTATTATTGTTATTACTAAACCAACCGGTAGAGTCTTCGTGAACATCTTCAGCTAGAAGACAGCTGTACTTTGGCTTTGGCCCGAAACCTTCTCTCTTTAGTTCTTCATAATAAAATGATAATAATGAAAAAAATAATATTTAAAATTATAGTTATGGTTATAATTATAGTTATAATAAAATATAAATTTAAATTTTTTACTATCAACTGTAATGGAGATTTTGTCAATATCGTGATAATCTGCTGCCTCCTGTAATTACGTCATATTATAATTAATTAACTATAAATAATTATAATTAATTATATTATAATTATAATTATAAATGCGATAATTATATATAATAAATCACAATAATGGTAATTAACAATGAAAATAGTCAAAATCATAAAAAATATTTATCATGATCATGGCTTTGATCCGTATCAAAAAATCAGTAGTGGTAGTAGTAGTAGTAATAGTTGTAGTAGTAATAGTAGAGGTGGTATTAATTGTACCAGCAGCAGTAGAAGTAGTAGTAGTAGTAGCAGCAGCTGTAGTAGTAGTAGCAGCAGTAATAATAGTAGTAGAAGTAAAAGAATTAGTAGTAATAGTAGTAATCGTAGTAGTAGTAGTAGCAGTAGTAGTAGTAGTAGTAGTAGTAGTAGTAGTAGTAGTAGTAGTAGTAGTAGTAGAAGTAGTAGCAGTAGTTGTAATTGTAGTAGTAGTAGTAGTAGTAGTAGTAGAAGTAGTAGCAGTAGTAGTAATTGTAGTAGTAGTAGTAGTAGTAGTAGCAGCAGCAGAAGTAGTTGTAGTAATAGTAGTGGTATATTTACCGACCTTGATCATCTTGCGTATTTCCACACAATCCTCTTCACGGAACATTCTCACGTTGACATCTTCTTTCTCTCCTATCATTTCACCATCTCTCCTTCCGCCCTCATCACCCTCTCTTTTCATCACCATCTTTCCTTTACACTCTTCGTTCGTCAACATTGTTGCTGCTTTTTATGGTGAAAATTATAAAAAAAATTATAAAAATATGATAATTATCATTCAATCAATCGTTTAATAAACCATTTAATCATTCAATCATTCAATCAACCATTCAATCAATTGATCAACCAAATATTATTCCCCCAAACATTAAAATTATTAGCGGTAATATCACACAACTTTTCGCTGAAATAAAACACAAGATTTAAATGAATTCCCATACAATTGAATAAAATTCCGAGAAATATAAACGAACAACAACCCAACAACCTCTGTATAAACTGTTTCTAATAACGCTGACAATCTTGACAACCTAGAAATATAATTGTATTTATGTATGTGTGTGTCTATGTGTATGTGTATGTGTGTGTGTATGTGTGTGTGTGTGTATGTGTGTGTGTGTGTATGTGTCTCTCTGTGTATGTGTCTGTCTGTGTTTGTGTGTGTGTATGTGTCTGTCTGTGTTTGTGTGCGTGTTTTTGTGTGGGTGAGTGTGTGTGTTTGTGTGCATGTGTGTGTGGTGTGTGTTTTTCTCTGTGTGTTTGCGTGTGTGTGTGAGTGAGTGGTGTAGTTTATTTTCACTTCTAGGTTAAGTAGTATTTGCTCAGATGTTTGCAAGAGATTCACATTTGATTACACTGAGTTATTGTTATTATTCCTATTATTATTATTATTATAAACTTATTATTTGTTTTTAAATATTTTTTCAAGTTAATTTTTTAATAATAAAAAAATAAATATAGAGAATAAAAAAATGAAAGGTAAATAATAATTATTATTTACAGAGATGGGCAGTAACGTAATTCAAGTAATGGAATCACGTAATTCAAATTACAATTTTAATTTGCATCGAAATTACTTTTTAAGTAATTGATAATTTGTATTCTAGTAATTTGATCTTTCATGTAATTTGGTAATTTTAAAGTAATTTCAAATTACATTTTGACTAAAAAATATAGTTTATATGTAAGGGAACAGATATACATACTTACACAAATTATTATTAATAATATTGTTATTATTGAAAATTTTTTTTATCTTGAAGTTCTAAAAATTTTTAAATTCTCAAAATTTAATTCATTAAAAATTTCATTCGCTACATCAAAGTAGTTTACTTCTTTGATGTTTGACGCTTCTTTATTTTCTTTCTTTATTTCTTTCTTTCTTTCTTTCTTTCTTTCTTTTCTTCTTTCTTCAGTTGTTCATTAAACGATCGAACAAATTGTTGATGAAAAGAAAGTAACTTAATAAATGAATATAAAAATGACATCAAAGAATATCAGCGCAAAGAAAAATCAACAATGTCTAAATAACTTCATAAAAATTTTTTTTCTTCATTTATTCAAAACTGGTTTGATGTAATGCAATTTCATGTAATTTGAAATTAGTAATCTGTAATTAGTAACTTGGCTCTTTTGTTAAATGTATTTTGTAATCTGTATCGAAATTACAATATAGTGTATAATTTGCCCATCTCTGATTATTTATACTGTTATTGATTGTAGTAGGAATTGGTAAAAGCTTTAGCAATAGCAGTAGTATTGTTGTGTGCGTGTGTCTTTATGTGTGTCTGTCTGTTTGTGTGTGTCAGTGTGTTTGTATGTGTCTGTATGTTTGTGTGTGTCTGTGTGTTTGTGTGTGTCTGTGTGTTTGTGTGTGTCTGTGTGTTTGTGTGTGTCTGTGTGTTTGTGTTGTGTGTTTGAGGTCTGTGTGTTTGTGTGTGTCTGTGTGTTTGTTTGTTTGTGAGTGCCTGTTTGTTGGTGTGTGACTGTATGTTGATGAGTGTCTGTGTGTATTTGTGTGTGTCTGTGTGTTTGTGAGTGTTTATGTGTGTGTGTGAACACTCATTCACCAGATTGACTGTTTAATCGTAATCTTTGAGGAAAAATTTTTAGTTGTAGCATGCCGAACTTGTTTTAAACGCTGTTTACCTCCAGCCTTTTCAAAATAAATTTTTTTTACTGCAATCAGGGCAGGCCAGAAAATCTTCAATGACTCGGGGCAAAAGTTTTGGCTGTTGCCCGAAAAACTTTTTGGTCATCACAAAACTTTCCGATCGCCCGAGTTGCTATCCTAGTTTTTTACGACCTTCCCGTTTTTGTGCCTTTCAGATATTTGCGGTCTCGGATCTTTTTGACCCGGGTCAGGCAATCTACCCTCTTTTACACCCTTCTGGACAGCCCTGATTGCAATCTTCATCACTGATTGGCCGACCATGTTAGCATTCGTTTAATTTAATTTTGCTCTTTATTCAATGAATGAAAAATATAGTGGACGGATTTTTAAATATTTATTAAAATAAAATTGTGAAAAAAGTATCATTTGTCTTTGTCTAAATAAAAGTTTCATGAAATTAATAAAAAAGCAAAAACAAAATGCAGAAGCGAAAAAATAAATATTATTGATCATTCTAGAATGAGAAAGTGTTCTATGCAAAAAAAACGTACAATGATCCGTCTTACGTGACTTTATTATTGTTGTTACCATGATATTGTTTATAATGAACGAAATTAAGCTCTACAATTGTTTGTCACTTACATGTTTAACAATTCATCCATTCATTCATTCATTTATTCATTCATTCATCCATTCATTCATTCACCTATTTATTCATTTTTTCATTCGTTCGTTCATTCTACAATAATCACAATCCTCGTTTAAACATTTATCAGTCGATCCACAAATAAACTGATAATTCTTCTAATCAATCATTCATTAATTCACTCAATCAATTATTCATTCACCTATCCATTCAACCATTTGTTCATTCATCCATCCATCCATCCAGCCATTTATTCAACCATCCAACCATCCATTCATCTATCCATTCATTCATTCATTCGTTCGTTCGTTCGTTCATTCATTCATTCGTTCATTCATTCATTCATTCATTCGTTCGTTCGTTCGTTCATTCATTCATTCATTCCTTCATTCATTCATTCATTCGTTCATTTATTCATTCATTCATTTTAGACATCTTCATGATGGCATCCCCTTCATACCTCAACCACACCCACTTTCCAACGTCGCTGATTTTCCTTGCTCCCGTTCTGAAATAATTATTATTCATAATTGTTATTATATATATATTTTTTATATTTATACATAATTGATCTACTAAATCATTCTTTCAATCACTCGTTCGTTCGTTCGTTCGTTTGTTCATTCGTCCATCCATTCATTCATTCATTCCTGTATCTCAATCTGGTTTCAGACCTGCTCACAGTACTGAAACTTCTTTACTTAAAATACACAATGATATTCTTCTCCCTAGTGACAGTAGTAATCTTACTCTTCTTCTTGCTCTTGACTTTTCCTTTGCCTTTATTACTGTTGATCATACTATTTTCTTGAGGCTGCTAGACCAATTTTTTAATATCACTGATTCTTGTAGATCCTGGTTTTCTTCCTATTTCTATAATCGTTTTTCTTCTGTTGTTCTTAATAATTCTACTTCCAACTCCTCCAAAACGCTTTTTCTGGCCCTTATTTCTGGAACTCTCTACCTATTTATCTGACTACTTCTCCATCACTTACGAAGTTCAGAGCGGATCTCAAGACCCATCTGTTTGCAAAATTCATTGAGGAGCGTTGTTGAACATCGCGGAAATAGCTCTTTACAAGCTAATTGATTGACAGACGCAGAAACTGTAACAACATGCAAGACAGTAAAACAAAATTAAACAAATAAGTCATTTTAAATAGTAGTATTGCTCTATCTCTGTATACAAAAACCTTTCGTAGAATTTCAGACAGCTGTTGTTTCCTTCCATGCATACAAAATCGATCTTCGTAACATTCTCACTCTTAGCTACCTGGTATTAATGTTAGCAATGATGATGACGATGATGTTGACGATAGTAGTGATGATGATGATGGTGATAGTAGTGATGGTGATGATAGTAGTGATGGTGATAATGACGATGATGGTGTTAGTTGTCATAATGATGATGACGATGATGTTGATGTTAGTTGTGATGATGATGTTGATGGTGGTAGTTCTGATGATGATGACGACGATGATGATGACGATGATGATGACGATGATGGTGATTGATGATGCTGATATAGATCACGATAGTGATGTCGGTTGTGGCGTTGATAATGATTATAGTTAATGATGAAGATGATGATGATGGTTGCTTCATTATATTGCTGATAAAGTCACAGCAAAGTTTGTAACTTTGTCAAAGTTTAAAAAAATTTATACTAAATAAACAAATAGCTTCATAAAACATTTAGAAACTTCATAGACAAAAAAAAAATAACACGCGTATAACATACGAAGAAAATGCCGAAAACTGAGCGCATCTAACACGTTTGCATTTGATACACGCGGTTCTCTTCGCAGACCAAGCACCTTTAACTTTATGACCACAATATGGTTTGCGCTATAGCGTAATGGTTAAAGTGCCTGGCATCGTTGCACTAACTGACCACGTTTGAATGCAAAGATATTCTTGAATACCACATACAACAGCGTGTGTTTCAGGTGTGTTTACGTATCTAAAGAGAGAATTGAAAGAGAAAAATTTGTCGTCCAGTTAGTCGTGCGATAGTACGTCTAATTACATTTTAGCCGGCTAGTGACAGAAACCTGCATGAATCTCTTCATCAGTTTCGATCCAACCCTTCCACTCCTGTGTGCTTCTCTCACGAACCACAGCTCCAGGTGTATTATCCTTCCGTAGTAAGAATGAAACGTGTCAAAAAACATGATCATACCAAGGAGTTGATTTGTTGTCGTTGTTGTGGCTGTTGTAGCTATGGCCGTGGATGTTGAAGTTGTGGCTGGAGATGTCGTTGTAGCAAAGTTAAACGTCTTTCCAGATGATTTTGCCGTGACGTCCAATGTAGTCGATCTTACGTTCGGAGTTGTTGAGTTCGTATCTTGTGGTGTTGTAATTGTTGTTTCTTCTGTTAGTTTTAATTATTCATTGTTCATTTGTTGTTGCTGTTGTTGTATGTTTGTTGTTGTTGTATGTTTGTGTAGTTTATATGTTGCGGTTTTAGGTGTTTTAATAGTATTTTAAATAGTGTTGATGTTGTTGTTTAATAAGCAGTATCAGAGTTATTACCACTAGAGTTACTATCGACTAAAACGAATAATTTTTTGTAACACCAACACAGAGGTTATCAGTGAAAATGTTTATGATAGTTTAAAAATTAGAAAAAAATAATATTTGACTGAATAATAATAAATCAATAAAAATTATTTGTGAAATATTTGCATATGTAAAAATTTGCATATGTTAAACGACCTACCATATTTGCCAAGGACATCTTCAGCTACCAGACATCTATAACTGGGTGTTGGGCCAAACCCTTCCTTTTCAAGTACTTCATTATCATAATTTATTCATCATTTCATAATTAACATTTATTTATTGCTTCGTTATGATAATTTAATTTTTTATTCGTTATCGAGATTTTTCATTAATTCATCAAGTCATCTTAAATTTATTATCCATTTTAATGGAATATTAAGCCATCTCTCTCTTTCTCTCTCTCTTTCTCTCTTTATCTCTCTCTTTCTGACTTTTTCTTTTTTTTACATTCTCTTTATCTCTAATACTACTATTATGATAATAAAGCGAGGGGCAATTATCATAATTTATAATAACAAATTGTAATTACCAACTTGGAACAGTGATGGCCGGTCGGATGCCGAGGTTTTCATGTACAGCCATCTCCTGTTTTCCACGATTGCGTAATAATAATAATAATAATAATAATAATAATAATAATAATAATAATAACGACGACGTCATCAGTGACGTCATCATTATTGTAAATAAAAATTTCATCATTAAATCGTTTTAAACACGTTTTTAGTCTTCAATTTGGACCTTATGGTCAAAATAATCATCGTCACCGTTATTAATTTATATTTATTCACCAATATTATAATTGTTGGGTTAAAATAATCATCATCGTCGTCGTCGTTATCATCATTACCACGACTATCCTCATAATCATCATCAACAGCAAAAACTTTGTCATCATCGTCGTCATCATCATCACAATCATCTCTAAAGAAAGAAACCAGATCATCATCATCATCATCATCATCATCATCATCATCATCATCATCATCATCGTCATCGTCATCATCATCATCATCATCATCATCATCATCATCATCATCATCATCATCATCGTCGTCGTCGTCGTCGCAATCATCCCACCATTATCATCTTCCAGATTTCCTCGCAATCTTCCTTCCGGCACCACCTCACGTTCACTCTATCCTTCATTCCTTCGTCACCCTTTTTTGTCATCGGCATCTCTCCATTCATTTTATTCATCCCCTTCATTTCTCCCCCTGATGGAATGAGAAATTTAATAGTGACGAATACGATAGAAGTGATATATATATACATATATATATATATACAAATTCTGCGATAGAAATAAATCTTGACTCTAGTTTTTTTATTATTTGATCGCCTTTGTACACATTCATAATAACGAGCAATGATGTTAAATTACACATTATTTTAATCTTTTAATTATTATAATATTTGATCATTTTATATTTAATTGTAATTATTATTATTATTATTATTATTATAACAAACAACCAATCACATACTAAACTCTAGCCAGTAAGCTGGTGATCCGAGAAAGTTTAAATCTAACTTTACAATAATGAAATAACCTCCCGCACAAAGAATTATATACCGATTTCATTTTCGCTATTTGCCTGTATTATTATTATTATTATTATTGATATTATTATTATTAAAAATCTTTTATATATAAAAATATTAATACAAATTTTATCTTTGACTTTAAAATAATTCTATTTAGTTTAAAATTCATTGAATAACTTTCGGCTGAACGTCAGGCTGGCAAGTCGAAGTCTAAAGTCAAGGAGAGTATTCGTAAAAGAGTTATATATCTACGTTTGTGTGTGTATGTTTGTGTGTGTGTGTGTTTGTGTGTGTGTGTGTGTTTGGTTGTTTCACTATAGTTTCTTCTTATCATTATTTATAAAACAACCCTATTATAGGCCATACTTACATGTCTGTTTTATGTTTTCTTTAACGAAAATATTCTTTGAAAAAGGATCATATCAATCATTTGAGCAATATAAAAATTAAGTGTGTGTGTATGTGTGTTCGTATGTGTGTGTGTGTGTGTGTGCGTATGTGTGTGCGTGTGTGTGTGCGTGTGTATGTCTGAGTGTGCCTGTGTGTGTACGTGTGTGTAGTGTGTGTGTGTGTCTTTGTGTTCGTGTGTCCGTATGTAAGATAACGAAACTATATATTTTAACATTTGAAATAAATATTATTGATAATATTATTAATTATCACGCTGAAAATAATATTTTAAGAATAATTAATTATAACCTAACAACTATAAATAAATTTTCTTCGACATCTTAGTTCCCTTCGCCATCGTTGTTGTCCTCATCCTCCTTCTTCTTCCTCACTCTCACGTAAAACTTCCTCTTCTTTTTTGCTATAAATTATAATAATAATTATTATAGTAGTAATATTAACAAAGGTAATAATAATATTAATAATATTAATAATTATAATATTAATAGTGATAATAACAATAATAATAACAACGGTAAATATAACGATAATGATTACGATAACGAGGATAATAATAATGATAAGAAGATAAGAAGAAGAAGATTAAGAAGAAGAAGAAGAAGAAGAAGAAGAAGAAGAAGAAGAAGAAGAAGAAGAAGAAGAAAAAGGAGTAGAAGAAGAAGAAGAAGAAGGAGTAGAAAAAAAAGAAGAAAAAAGAGAAGAAAAACAATAAGGATAAAAAAAATTATAACAATAATAATGAATCATGAAACAAACGCTGATCTGAGGTAGATGAACTCTCAGTAACTTCCCCGCTAGCTCGATACCCATCCCCATTCATGCTACTTTCAGCCATTTTCCCGCCATTTTTTTTCATTCCTTTATCCGCGGCTAGCGTTCCATCCACGTATCTCTTTTCTAGCTTGTCGTAAAATTGTCTCCTTCTTTCTCTCTCATCCCTCATAATTTTCTCCCCGATTTCGTCACTGTCTCTCTCCAGCCTCATTCTCTCTAATTGCTCTTCTAGTTTTCTGTTTTTATTTTGTTTTAGTTTTTTTCATAATAAAATAATGATGATTATTGTTATTATTATATATTAATTTTTGCATATTAATTAGTGTTAATGTTCAAATGTGTTTAACAATTATTATCTCATTTACTTATCAGTCAGTCACTCAGTCAGTCATGTTATCAATCATTCATCTCTCCATCAATCCATTCATTCATTTATTCGTTTGTTTGTTCATTCATTCATTCGTTCACCTATCCATCAATCAATCGACTACTTTTTTTTAGCATCCTCTCTTATATTCTTATCTCTCGTTCTCTTCTTCTCCCTCTCTTCAAGATTCTTGCGTTCATCACTGTTCAACTGCTGGTACTGGTTTCTGGATTGAATTTTTTTAAAATTTCTGTTAAAATGGTTAATAAACGAATTTTATAAAGTAATTTGGAGTTAAATTTTGTTTTTTTGTGTTTTTTATTTAAATTAATTGTCCTTTAAAAATTTCTGTTGAATAATATTTAGGAATTATTTCTTTATAATAATTAAATCAATGTTGAAATTGATTCTAATATTTTGTTTACTTTTATCAATTTTTTATCTGTAATACCCGATATA